GTTGGTATCGATCCAAATATCTTTTCTTACGCACGGTGGAGAATAATTTCTTGCTAATCAAATCTGTTTTCCTCTCTGCTGCACAATACTTCATGCTATTTCCTAATATAATCCTAAAAGCCAAATTTTTTTGCCACTTTGAGTGTTCGTTTGTTCGTTATTGTTTCATAAATGCTTTTTTCTACATCATTTTATTTGAGTTTTTCCCTAGACTGATCGGAAGTTTTAGACACTACAGTATTTGTATCATCATCATCTGCACTCTATTGTTCTTTTTAAGCCTTTCTGTAGTATATAATTTTCTTTCTAATCATTATGAACTCAATTAATGGTGTAATCTCATTCTATAAGAAGAAAGCGCTTCGTTTAAATGGACACTATATTTTACAAAAAGAAACAAATTCTTCTGTTTTCTATTTGCATTGTAGTTTGTATCAATAAATTTTATTTCAGAGAATTCTCTTGAATGTCATATATACTGTGATTATACAATTCGAAAGATTGAAGTCTCTTCTCCGTTCTATATGAAAAGTGGAATTTCTAACAAACGTTCTTACAGATATTCATAGACGTCAATCAACAAACATATTTTTGATATAAAAAATTATTCGAACCCTTGCAATTTTTCTTCGGTGCTTTTGTTTCATAACAGCTCATTTTGGATGATATGAGTGTGTAGAGAAATATCACACAAACACCCACACTGACCCTATGGTTGAACACTCACTGATTATGTTTAAAAAGTCGTTCTCCGTATTAAATCGTCGTAATCAGATTAACCTTTGTTGCATTTATTTGAACTTGTCAGTATTTGATTTCTTAATTTCAGGACATATTCGAGAATCACAATAAGTAACGTCTAGCATTTATCAGATACCGATTCATTTAACCCTAGATTGAAGAACTGATCTAAAATAAAAAGGGTGTGGGTGTCGGTGGGTGTGTAAATAAAGAGAAGACCCACATGCACATCCGCACTCACTCTCCCACCCGCACATCCACACTCACCCGCACCCACCTACACTCACACCCACCTACACCCACACCCACAGTCACCCACACCCTGTTTTGGTGCCATCAAAAACCTCACGACACCCTGATGGCAAGGGAGTTGAATTGTCCGGGACTACTTATTTGATCAGTAATTGATCTTATTCGCAGCTAACCATCATACTAATGGTTGTTCCACTATCCACAAGCCGTGGACCCGCTTGGTAGCACTCAGCTGTGTCCCAAGATTTATTATGACGCGAATGGTAAAATAGATGATTCTGTCAATATTTTCTCGATATCTCAGTTAATTTGAATTTAATTTTTTTTTTGAAAAGATTTATCTTGGAATTCTATACAAAACGGTATAACTAACTCAACTAATGCAGTTTTATTCGTTTCGAAATTTGAGCAAAGAGATTACATACAACTTTGTAATCTCTCTATTTTATTTTTCAAGTATTTCAGCTTTTGTTATGACACATTAACAACTCATTTTAGTATTTAACCTATAATAAATAATTATCTTCAGTAGACTAGTATATATAAAAATTCTGAACGTAATATAACAAAAGACAAAATAGTTTAAGAATAAAATTGTTTTTCAAGAAAACAAAACGTAGATTTGCAAAATGACATGTAATTTCTTTGTCGAAATCTAGAGAGGATAAAACATGATCAAGATATCAACAACGCCTTGAGATCATCATTTATCCTACTGTAATCATCCGAATACGTGTACACATAACTCATTTAATAAAAGTTTGTTTATGTGTGTGCCCAGACATATTTTATAAAATGAAAAAATATTCGAACGTAGTTAATATTAAATTTATTGATTTATGACATACTTATCTTAATAAATTTCTCTATAAAAGAAAAACATGTCTACTTATGATGACAAGGATCTTGTTGATGAAAACAGTTATTGCTTTATGTAATCTCGAAACATATCTCAATTTGTGAAGATAAAAAATTCTTTTTGAAGACAGTTTTGCATTGAACAAAAACAAAATAAAACGCTATGATTCTTAACAATTTCTTTATGGAAGAAAAAAACAGTGCATTTATCATTTTTTAATTCTAAATAATTATTCATATTCTTATCTCTTGTCATTGTTTATGTAATAAAAACAAAGCATTATTTGATCTATACAAATATGTATTTTCAGGTATCGATTGAACAAGGTAGAAAAAAGATCGTAAAGACAAGAAAAAAAAAGCCCAAAATATTATGCCATTTCTGATTTGAAAGATTGATTTGAAACAAAATCGACAAGTAAACGATAATTGCTTATTGATTTCATCGTATGACTGATTCTTAATCGAGTAAAAAAGACCTTTAAAAATTTTCGAAAAAAATATCCTAAATTATCAATTAAGTGAAAGTTATTTGATCGAAATGACCTTTTCTCTCTAGGACACATGTTCCCCTCATGGAATTTCAAAAACAAAAAAACGTTCTCTTTGAATGAGAAAATGTAGATAAAACCGTACAAACAGTATTTGTCTCTTATGTTTATGATATATTGAATAATTAAAGCAGTAAGTGTTGATGTCAACGTAATAATTGATGACAATCGAACTTCTAGCAGATTGTTGATATAATATGGGACAGAAAAAAAAAAGTATATCTACATTTTGGTCTATCATAATCATGAAGATTATTTGTTGTTTATTATTATTTATTCTTCTGATTAAATGTATTGAAACGAAAAAAGTTCATCGTACATATGTAGTTGAACGAAATACAACAGCTCGTGAAAAATCAATGTATGGATTTAGAATACTTGATTCAAACGAAAAAACATGTTTATATCAAATAAGAGTTTCATCGAAGGATATGGATACTGCTATACTTGTTGATGATATTGGAAAGAATATAGTGGCTAATCTTAAAGGTACATGGATAAAAAATTCAATTAACGTTACATTTTCTATTAATGATTCACACTTAAATAAATGGACAGATGGATTTATACAAAGAAATGATAATTGGCTTTCTATTGATTATGCAACTCAATCTAATAATCAGCAATTAATTGCAAGATCGAGCACCTTTTTGAAGAAAGTAAAAATCTATGATAAAAAGAAAAATGAATTAATAGCTCAATTTCGACAACGTACTCGATGGACGTCTTCGAAACCGGTCAAATATATTTTGAAAATCTATTCAAATCAAGTACCTGATGCTATTTATTTTTTCTTAGTGTTAATTATGGATCATCGAGGTCTTGCTGGCGACAACTAATTATATTGAATTTAATTATTTGCATGCTTTATGTAAACAATACACAGCTGAAGAATTATTTACATCTTCTATTTCTTGAATGAAGATTATGATTATTTTTATTAATAAAGTTTCTACCAATTTTTGCTTTCTTTTAGTATATTCTTGTAAAAATTTTTCAATAGTTTTCAAAATAAATCATTTTTGGTTAGAGAGATGAAACCGAGTCTGAATGAAGATCATCTTTGTTATTAATGGTGGTTTTCTGTAAATTTTGTATGATTTTTTGAATTTAAATGTATATGATGTCCTTGCTTAGATGCTACGAAATCAAATCATTTTTAAATTTCGTAAGCTAATAACAAGTGACACTCCTTTTTTTTAATGAAAAAATCGCACTTGAAATTGTGCACAAAATGGTTCAGGCAAAGAAATAGGTACTGTTTTCGAACGAAAAATTGGTAAAAGAAGTAGAAACTAGGAAGCAGAAAATCGATAACCACCTCTGTCCGGTTACGGTCGGTTGCAACAACAACTAGAATAATCGAGTCACCTGATTGGGTCACTGGATTTCTGCTTTCATGGATCCACGAGCCGGAGTCATCGACGTGTAGCTATATTTTAGTTTTACTCGGTCAATCAATGGTGTCTTTGTTGTTACGTGGTCCTAATCCATAGCTTCAAACAATTCATTCCGTAAACTTTAGTCTAATGAGCATAAATCAGCAGAATTTGTTGACTAACAGATCTTTGGAATGAATGGAAACAAATTATCAGAACACCACTTTCGATTCAAGAAATATGTGTGAACTTTGGGGTTATCTCTCTGGCGTATCGAATAGTTTGCTTTCTTTCATTTGAGTCTCCTAAAACCCATCATTTAAGTATAAGTTAAAGTGTTAGTCTTTACCTCTTATATATTCTTATTTTTTTTTGTTCATTTTGTTCAGATTAGTCACATATCATTTTCCACATGAATTTGAACGTTCTCACTGTGAAGCAAGTTTATAAGGTATTCGATTGTCAATGTCGAAATGGAGGGCATTATCTACTCTTAGATTAGCATGAAGCAAGTTTGTTTTACCCTATATTGAATTTTGTCATTGCCATAAAAACTATGCTTATATATTAAATCATCGTGTGAAAGTATTCACGTAGGAGTTCAAAAGTCATATGAAAAATGATATGTGATTCGTTTGAAGGACATGAAAAAATATCACGATATCTAAATCTTAAGAATGTTGAAATATTTTTACATGATCATAAATTTGTTTAAACATTACAGTAGAATACTTCTCTTCAGATTATGTGTTTTACGAAAGTCAGATGAGAAAAAAAACTTTTCTAGTGTTCCATATAGAACATAGCCTTAACTCATTTCTATACAGAAATCTAGAGAGGATGAAAGAATGATCGAGATATCAATAACGATTTGAGATCATCGTTTATTCTACTGTAATCATCCGAATTTATTCTCTCTTCTCATTCTATCCTAAATTATCAGTTAAGTAAAAAGTATTTAGTTGAAGTAATCTTTTCTACTTAATGTCAATGTTCAATATTTTGTTCGATGTGACTGCTGAAGAAACGACACCGCTCTGATAGTTGAGTTGAGCCTTCTCGAAGTTTGTGGTTACTGTATTATATAGTGCCAAAAGTAGATTGGTGAAAATTTTCTTCCTCGATGAGAAAGTCTGGATAAAACATCGCAAATGCTACTTTTTTCTAATCTTTATGATAAATTGAATAATTCAAACAGTAAGTGTTGATAGCAATATAATAATTGATGACAATTCAATTTCTAGACGGTTAACATAATATGGTAGAAACGAAGATGCGTCAGCATTTAATCTATGGTTATCATAAAGATTATTTCTTGTTTACTATTATTTATTCTTCTGATTAATTATATTGAATCAAAAAGTGTGGAATGTGCCTATATACTGGTAGAAAATGCAAGAAGCAGTCGATCTGAATTAACTGGATATACAATATTTGATTCAAAAGAAAAAACAAGTAGAGTCGTTCGGGGTAATTCGGATCAAAAATAAAAAATTTCATTTTATTTTGTTTTCGTTCTCATTCAT